GATCCCCCCGGTGGCAACTTGTTTTTTAAAAGGTTTTTTGGGGTTTTTAGGAGCCGGAAGTTCGAAAATCGAGGTTTTAAGGCTCAGAAAATGTCTCTTTGGAGTATTTTCGGACCTTTTTGTTTTCGAAAATCTCGGTAAATTGACTTTTTTCTTAATTTTTATGTGTTTTTTCATGATTTTTGGCACAAATAGACATTTTTGGGGCTTTTACATCGAAAGTCCGGCTTAAAAACGCTCTAAAACGCTTCTAAAACCCTGAAAATCCATGAAAATCCTTACCATTGCCTTCGCCATCACCGACATCTTCTTCTCTGGAGGCTGTGGAATAATTACCCCTTTTTGACGATATTTTGCCACGATTTTCTCATGAAGATCCATGAATTCTGTGAATCGGCGCCACGTGTCATACCGCTTCCGGTTGTAGCCAGCGACGCCTTCGACCTGGAAAAAAATTTTTTTGAAAAAAATTTTTCAGAAATCTTTACCTCCGTCTCCACACGATACACAAAATGCACATCAAAGAAACCGCCTCGCTTCTCGAATTCAGCGATTTTCACCTTGAAAATTTGGGAATTCTGGGGATTTTGGGCCTTTTTGGGTTCTGGAGGGATTTCTGGAGTGTTCAGAACTTCTGGTGTGTCATCATTCAAATCCACGTCATCGTAAAGAGATTCAGAAATCGATTCGGCCATTTTTAGGCTGAAAATTGCGAAAATTAGTTTATTTTGCATTTTTATGGGGAAATCGCTTTTTTTGGCTAAATATTGAAAATTTTCAACATTTCTGGTGAAAAATATGCTTTAAAATTTATAAATTCTCAATTTTTTTGCCGAAAATTCAAGGAAAATAGCTCAAAACTTGGCAAAAACCCAAAAAAAATCTCGAAATTAGCGGAAATTCTCCATTGTGGATTTACGGTAAACAACGCGCGCTTCCCGGGAGAGCGGAGTGTCGTTGTTTTTTTTTATTTCGGGATATTTTTCAAGAAAAATTCCCTTGAATTCGCCTGAACTTGAAAATAATGTTGGCTAAAAAATAAAAATAGAAAATCTATAAGAATGAACAGGAATTGGGGATATGAAAATTGGAAATTTCGCAGGTGAAAAACCCAAAAAATCTAGTTTATGTGGAAAATAGGCAGCTGAAATTTAAGCTAGCTTACAAAGAAAATTAATATTGGACAAAAAAAAAATCGGGATCACACCAAATAAGAACCCTACAAAAAAATTACAGTATACCTTTTTTCAGAAAAATCACCAGAACTTGCTTCAAGATTTTTCTTTTTTTTTTGAAACTCTCACACAATATTAAAAAAAAATTCATTTTTGTAGTTGATGACTTTTTAATAGAATTTAATTTACCAGAGATATGTCTAATGGGCGGAGCTAATGCGTATTTTAGCGCTATAACTCAGTTTTTGAGCTATAACTTTGTCCGAAGCTAGCGAAATTGCAAGATTTTTTGGAATTATGTTTTTCAACATGTCAGCAATACATCTTCAGAGTTTCATCAAAATTCAACAGCTTTCATGGAAGTTAGACCTTTTCAAAGATTTCGTACTATTAAAAAAGAACTTTGACTTTGAGCCAATTTTTCGGGCTTCCTGTAAGAGTTACGAAAAATCTGTTAACTGATAAAATATTGCTGATAATATGATAAACATTTTCTTAGTTGACTACTTTTTGATATCTTTCATAGGAATTGAGATATGTGAGCTCAAAGTGCACTTATATTAGAACATTTACGGTATCTATTTTAGGCCAATTTTTCTGGCTTCCTGTGAAATGTACCAAAAACTAGTCAACTAACAGTAGTCAACTATTGCTGATAATCTGCTAATAAAAAATATATCTTTTACAGGAACAAAGATAGAATGGCTCAAAGCTGACGGAATCCTTTAACAAGGCTTCATATCTAAAATACATTTATTAATTTATTAAATCCATTTTCAAAGAAAAAAACGGCAAGATCAATAAATTGAATTCCTTCCTGTATTTTCAACTCTTTCTTATTTTTAGCCTGAATTAGGCAGAATGCGTCCCTGCGTCGTCTCAGTCGTCGGCTTGGGAGGAATCGTAACCTTTTGATCGTTATCTTGAACTTCGTGAACTTGGCCACAACGCATGAATTGTCCGATTTCAGTTCCAGGAATTGAATTGAATTCCACAGCAGATTTCTTCAGAACACAACGCTTGTTTCTAGGTCCTTCACCAGCATTTCCTCTTGCTCCTGATCCAGCTTCTCCTCATTTATATCCTCCTAGCTCCAGCTCCAGAGCTCCAGCTCCAGCACCCGGCTCCAGCCGGAGCTCCCCTCCTCCTCTCTGGATCCCAGAGAAGGTGAGAACTGATTCTTCTCTCCACTGCCCTCTTCTTTTATAGTAATCTTCCCGAGGCCAATGGGCCATACAGATTCACGGAGTTTTGAATTTTTTGAAAACTTTTTTTTTTGCCACGTGGATTTCTTTTATAAACAAAAAAGATATTTTTTTCGTCACGTTTAAATAACTTTTTAATTTTCAAAATTTTTGAAAAAAAAATTATTAAAAAAATGAAATCAACTGTCAACTTTGACCTTATATATCTAATTTCCTGCGAAAGATATCAAATTGTTGTCAACTGATAAAATATTGCTGATAATATGATAAACATTTCTTTAGTTGACCACTTTTTGATACCTTTCATAAGAATCGAGATATCTAAGCTCAAAGTGCACGTGGGCTAATATTGGAACATTTACGGTATCTAATTTTAGCCAATTTTTCTGGCTTCCTGTGAGAGGTACCAAAAACTAGTCAACTAACAAAATATTGCTGATAATCTGACAAATATTTTATCCGTTAACATGTTTTTGATACCTCTCACAGGAACCCAGATAAATTAGGTCAAAGTGGGGGGTATTGATTTACTACCGTAATTTCATAACCCATTTTTTGCAGTTTCCCAGTTTTCAAAAACCAAAAATTCCAGATTTTACTAGCTGAAATTCAATAAAGTTCCCATAAAAGTTCCCCTCAAAACTGTCCAAATTCGATTGAATATTCCAATTGTATTCCGAATTTCCTAATTTCTGAATTTCCTAATTTCTGAATTTCCGAATTTCTGAATTTCCGAATTTCTGAATTTCTGAATTTCTGAATTTCTGAATTTCTGAATTTCTGAATTTCTGAATTTCTGAATTTCCGAATTTCTGAATTTCTGAATTTCTGAATTTCTGAATTTCTGAATTTCTGAATTTCTGAATTTCTGAATTTCTGAATTTCTGAATTTCTGAATTTCTGAATTTCTGAATTTCTGAATTTCTGAATTTCTGAATTTCTGAATTTCTGAATTTCTGAATTTCTGAATTTTTGAATTTCTGAATTTTAGAATTTCAGAATTTCTGAATTTCCGAATTTCTGAATTTCTGAATTTCTGAATTTCCGAATTTCTGAATTTCTGGATTTCTGAATTTCCGAATTTCTGAATTTCTGAATTTCTGAATTTCTGAATTTCTGAATTTCTGAATTTCTGAATTTCTGAATTTTTGAATTTCTGAATTTCCGAATTTCCGAATTTCTGAATTTCTGAATTTCTGAATTTCCGAATTTCTGAATTTCTGAATTTCTGAATTTCTGAATTTCTGAATTTCTGAATTTCTGAATTTCTGAATTTTTGAATTTCTGAATTTCCGAATTTCTGAATTTCTGAATTTCTGAATTTCTGAATTTCTGAATTTCTGAATTTCTGAATTTCTGAATCTCAGGCTCTTAAATGTTCAGATTGACGGAGGAAATAATTCGCCAGCTGCAAAGGTCAGGAGCCGTGGTGGATCAAGCTGCTCCAGGCCGATATCAAGGTAAGATCTTGCCCAATTCTTGCTTAAGTCGTGTCCAATTTCTGTCCATTTCTTGTCCATTTCTTGCCCAATTCATGCCCAGCGAATATTTTCAGCTCAGGTCATCACTTCGGACAAGTTCAATGCCAATTTTTTGGGCAAGCTCAAGGACAAGTTGGTGCAGTTTTTGGTCTACTGGCGGCTCCCTTGATAGCACCCCAAGGTGCTGTACCAGCTCCTCCAATCTTCACAACAATTGATATGAATTTCGTCGCAAGAGCCCAAATCTTGAATGCTGCTCAAGAACTCCAAATCCCCCTCCAAGGTAGCCTCCTAGCTTTCAACTTGGAGCCAATTTATCTCGGTTCCTATAACAAATATCAAAAAGTTGTCAACTGATAAGATGTTTATCACAATATTACTAATATTTCATTAGTTGACTTAATTTTGTTACCTCTCACAAAAACCGAGATAATTGAGCTCAAAGTTACATGTCTTAAAAATATTCAAAAACGTTCAGCAAGTCCTAGAATCATTCCACAATCCCCAACAAATCTACATATTTCAATTCCAAGTGAGTCACTATTTCTAGAACTTTCTAAAGCCAATCTTTAAAGATCCTCTTCTAATCCTGGCTGTTCTTGGGATGGCTCCATCGGCTCCTCCTGTTCCACCTCCTGAATCAATACTCTGCCGTTGCGGATTCTCCATAAAATCCAAAAAGTCGTCTTGCCAATTCAAACGACGTGTTTTTAACTGCTTACAAACTGCAATTCTAAATGCTAGATTTGAGACAGGGTTTCCAGTGACTCTTCAGGAGAAGCTCATGTTCGCTAAAGAGTTCAAGGTCACCATGAAGCGAGTGATTACATGGTTTGGGAAACGATCGAGGAAGAATTGAGCGATTCTAGATGGCTAATTAGTATTTTCAGTAACTTACTTGAATAAATTTTCAATCGGGCTATTATTCTTCCAGATAGAAAAAGAAACTAAAACAAAAAAATTTGAATCGCCTACTTTCCCGGTTTCTGAGTTTCCAAAGTTTCTAAATTTTTGGGCTCTTGAGTTTTGGAGTTATTGATTTTCGGATTTCCGATGGTCACTTAGTCACATGAAGCTCATCTCTCGAAAGGATTTATGAAGGTATGGATTCTACAGTATAACCACCACCACAATATTCAATTACATTCCCGTCTCTCGATTTGTTTATAATATCCATACCGGTCTGGTCCGTGTCCGGTACAAAAGTAAGGTCAATTTGCTTGGATTCACAGGTGTCTGCTCGCTTGTCCTCTTCTCACCTTCCCCCTCTGCTCCGCTTAAGCGTGGTGAGCTACTTTGACATAGTTTGATACGGAGATGTCTACTGACTTGTAGCGAACAGCTGCCGTTTGGTAGTGCACAGTGACTCATGAAGAGGCGAGAATAACAAATGCTAATATGATGTCACGGGAGGTTCGGATGACCATGGCTTGAGTCAGGTCGATGGAGTGAAACCGGGCTTTGGATTCTCTGCTTTCTTTCTTTTATAATTTTGAACTGAGCAATATGGCTGAAATAACACATTTTATTATCCTGAATAATCCCATTGTCATTTATTTTTGTTCGTTTAGTCTTCCACAAAAGACATCATCGGAAAGAGTTCCACGCGTCTGCGCTTAGAATTTTAGTACAGTACTTTGTCGCTCTAACACCTTCTCTCTGTCGTATACACACGTCATCTAATATTCCGTCTCAACGCAACTCGCTTGCCTTTTTTTCTGTTCGTGCCTCCTCCCTGACGAGATTCAAGCGGTAGGGATAGACCACCGGCAGCCTTGCTCCGCCCATTCCATCAATCGTTTGTGTTCAATGTAATCGATCGATTATAAGCATGTTGCTGAATGCCTGCGTCCTCACATAGAACGCAACTCACTGTACTGGCACTTTGCGATCAGTTACTTCAAGACCACAGATGTGAGGGGCCGGTTTTCTGAGCCAAATTTCTGTCTCCCTTATTGTCTATGTTTCTCTACCGTCTCTCCGATTCGCATAGTTCCAAAGGGAACCTTTTATGTCTGGCGATTTGTCGCGATGCGATCGCGTCGAGCGTAAATTTTAAATTTTTTAAAATTTCTTGAGCTATTTCATCCCTCATCCATCTCTTCTTGCTTGACTACTCATTTGCTCTTCTTCGTATTTTTTTTTGAATTGAAATTCTTTACCGTATTCCACCCTCCGCTGTTTCAGTGTCCAATCACCAACCACCAAGCAACGAACCGAGATGAGCTCTTCGAGAAGACGCCGTAACCAAGCTCAAGGTAACTTTTGTTTTTACGTAAACTAAAATTTTCAAGAGTACCGGCTAAAAGTTTTTTGTACTTTTGGATGTCTGAATAACATGATAGATTTTTTTAGATTTGACTGAACATTTCTGGATTACACTAAACAAAAATAGAGCTTCAACTTTGTAGTTGCCAACTTTCTTGGGGAAATTCATTCAAATGAGATGTACCGTCAGAAAGTGACTCTGGAGTATTCGGCACTTGTTTGGTTTTAACTGGTATATCTCATTTAAACGAATTTGCACAAAGAAGTTGTCAACTACCAAACTAAAGTTTTGTACTTGTTTAGTCTAGCCTGCAATTTTCAGTAATATCGAAAAACTCTGAGCTCCCTTTTTAGACTCTAAAATTGGCTGGTCGGCAGTGAAAATCAATTTAACATAGTCAATTCTTAATTTTTCAAAATTTTTGAAGCCGCTGCCGTTGCGCAATTTGTCGAAATTGCCGCTGCTTCGGGTAGGAGATCTGGAAAAAAAAAGAATAACCTAGAAATTCAGGGGCCGAATTTTAGCTCACAAAAAAACTTTGCCATATTCATTTTCAGACTCACACTTCTAAACTTCCAGTGTCCCATAACGTTTCTGTCCCAAAATCTGGTGGATAACGACTTGATGACGTCATCACCGCTTCTGAATCCTTTTCTTGCTAATTTTGATACATTTTTGCCTGTAAAATCGTTATTTTTAAAATGTATTTTTGAAAAACTTAGAAATTCAGGAAAAAAGTAGAAAAAAATTACAAAATATGAGAAAAATTTTTCAGTGTTGGTTTGAAGAATGTGCGGGATAAAATGGGGAAGTTGGTCAGAATTTCAAACATTTGATCTAACAAAAAAGTTTTTTAGGACTGATGACCCGATGACCCGATGACCCGACGAGTTGTGAACCCCATGATCCCATGACTTGTGAACCCCATTACCCCATTTTTTGGATTTTTCAAAAACCTATTTATAACCCTTCTTTTTCTGTGTTATCATAGTCGCAACATTGTTTTTCAAGAAATTCTCAAATCAAACTTTTTTCAATAAATGATTTTATTGATATTCAATTAGATGAAACGCGTCGATATGACAGAACAAGCGGTACAATTCAGTGAATATGAACAAAAGAGAAAGAATGTTGAATTTTAAAAAGTAGAGAAAGATTTTGAGTTATCATCGATGATACAAATGAAAATTAGGTATTTGAGATTCGCTATATTGATTATGACAGTACAATCGGTACAATTCAGTGAATGTGTACATAAAATAAATAATTTTGAGTTTTAAAAAGGAAGAGAGATTTTGAGTCATTATCTATGATTCAAAGAAGATTAATGATTTGGAAAATTCGGGAAGATCAATCAATAGCAATCTCCTTGTTGATTTTCTTCTTGGTACTCGTTGACTGGATGACGACTGCAGTCCTTCTGATATTTGGTCCGTCTGCGAGTGTTTTGGAAGAAATTCGTAACGCTGCGTTTGTCCAATTTGAGAGTTTCCGCAATAATACCCAACATTTCGCTTGATGGCTTTGGATCCTCATCGTAGATGGTTTTCAGAGCATTCTTTGTAACTGGATGGAACTCGGTGCGTGCCTTCTTTGGAGCGGGACCTTCAGTCGTACGTTTTCTGAAAATATGAAGGTTTAGTTGAAAAATTGAACATATAAATATAAAACTGACCTCTTGCGAGCATTTTCCTTCTTCGCCGGAACAGACCAATTAATTTTCTTATCAACAATTTCCATTCTTTGTTCCTCTGGCAATTGGTACCAATTGTAAAGACGGACATAAATTCCATGACCAGATTTGAGACTATCCCATGGTTTTGGTTTTCTTATAAGCTCGGAAAGCGTTCCTTGGCAGCGATTAATGACTCTTTTGGCGAAAATTGTTTGTGGGATTTTCTTGGTTTCCAGTTCTTGAAGAATAGAGTTGCATAGAACTTTGGTGTCGAGCGCAGCGCCATTTTTAAGAGGGGCAGCCAGACGTGCTTCATAATATTCAGATGTTTCGGAGTCAGAGGTTGAGGACGAGGCTTGGGAGTCAGATGATGAAGACGATTGAGTACCTGGAAAATTAAAAATAGTTGAGTTATTAGTTATTTTCCTCTATCACTCACCATGAAAACCCCTGCTTCTTCTGTACGCAGCATCTACGGTAGTCTGATCATAATTCTTTTGCTTATTAGAAGACATTTCATCCGTTGAAAACTTTTGTTTTCTGCGATCTGTCTTTTTGATAACTGACTCAACGGAATGGGATGGTTGGCGACGCTCACTGTTGGCGTTGAAACCTGCACCGTTTTGGAATGATCTTTGTCTGTACGGATTGATTGGTTTGCCATTAGAGCTATGTGGTTGATTAGTGTACGGATCATTGCTGTCGTCAGTATCGGAGTTACTCAACAATGGTTGTTGATTGTACATGCGACTGGTGCTACTGGGAAGTAGTTGAGGCTCGTACTGATAATCATTGACGTCGCCATGGTGATAGTCTTGGATTAGTGATTCAGAAATGTTCAGATCATCGCTGGAGCCAACATTGGTGCTGGTTTGAAGTGGTTGATGGTGGTACCGAACATGGCGATATTCGACATCAAGACCATTTTGGTTTGGTTGATTGTACCGATTATCGATGGTGTTGTTCTTGAAACTGTCTTGGAATTGCCGCTGTTTGATCATATCCTGATGGATTTTGAGAATTGTGCTTTTTTGAAATGGTTCACGGTTGTAGTTCTCATTGCGGCTATTTTGGACTGGTTGCTGATTGTGCTCATTTCTGCCAACAACGACGGTAGTTACAGTTTGATCATGTCGGGTGTTTTGGGTTTTCGATTCGATAATTCTGGAATTATGAATGAAATATGAAAACAAAATAAAAACATTTTGATAATTGGCATCTGGATCTATGCAGCTACCCTATGATTGAAGTCTAATTGAAATGCCTCTGATGTCCTATTTTTTTTAATTTAAAATTGCTGATGGATGTTCAGTAAAAATACAAAAAAATCCCTACTAATCTACAGTGGCGAGAAGTGGTGAGGAGAATTTTTTCGATCATTCCTAACTTTGTTAAAAATCTCTCAATTGACTTGAAATTTTGCATGAAAATAGCTGTAAAATCCAAAAACATAAAAATCGGCTTTTTGAAAGCTTCTCATTTTCAGAATTTTCAGAGCAGTTTCTGGTGTAACAGTGGTCAGAGAATTCAAAAAAAAAATTCCAGAATTTTTTTTCTGGCTTCCATTTTAGATGTCAAATGATTCTCAGGGTTCTATTATGTACCAAAAAACTTTTGAAGAATTTTGGAATTCGGGCTCTACTAAAGCTCAGAGCACAAAAGGTATGTGTCGGCATTTTTGCCGTAACTCAGCTGAAAATGTATTTTTTATCATCAAATCTTCACAAACGATGTGTTTTGAGTTGTTTATCGTTTCATGACAAAACTTTTACAATTGTAGAAAAAAAAATTTTGATTTTTTTTTCACCTCTAGAAAAAATTTCTAAAATATAAAAATGAAAAAATAATAATTTTTACAATTAAAACACTTTTGTTATAAAACTGATAAACAACTCAAGACACACCATTTGTGAGATTTTGAACACCAAAAATACATTTTCAGCTGAGTTATGGCAAAAATGCCGACACATACCTTTTGTGCTCTGAGCATCATAACTCGAGAGCCCAACTTCCAAAATTCTCCAAAACTTTTTTGGCGCATATTTCATAACATTCATAACTTTGTACTTTATAACTTCATAACATAACATTCATAACTTGGACATTGAGAATCATTTGACATCTAAAATCGAAGCCAGAAAAAATTCTGGAAAATTTTTTTTGAATTCTCTGACCACTGTTACATCTGACACTTCTCTGAAACTTCTAAAAATGAGAAGTTTTCATAAAGCCAATTTTTATGTTTTTGGATTTTACTCTCATGCAAAATTTCAACTCAATTGAGCAATTTTGAACAAAGTTATGAATGTTCGAAAAAATTATCCTCACCACTTCTCGCCACTGTAGGTCTTTCTAATAGACGTGCCCCTAGAGTAGCCACAAAAAAATACAAGTGCATCTTCTAATTGAGGTACCCCTAGAATCCCCAAATAGAAGAGCCGACCCTTTTACTATGGGTTCCACAGTAATTCAGTAGGTTGGTACAGGAAAATAGTCATAAAGTCCCCCACGGGTGCCGCACTATACCGTAAAATTGTGTGTGTGTTAGTTTCAAAACTACATAAATGTTGTCTATAACATCTAGCTTTAGGATCTAACCTATAGTAAAATTCTTGGATACTTACCCTGCAGTCGTGCAGTCTATATCGTTCAAGCTTATTGTAGCTGGATCCACCAACCTATCCCCCAGCTCCATCGTATCTGAAAACTTATTTTTAGAGAGGATATTATAAAGAAGAAAGAATAAAGGTAAGAGGAAGGGAAACTAGTGAACACACTAGTTAACCTCAATGAAAATAGAAAAGATGAGTGGAAGTCAGGAAGGAAGGAAGAGAGAATGAATGAATGAATGAATGAATGAGATAAAAATAACTCGGAAGAGAATCGCATCGACAAGGGGCGGAGTCTCAAAGGTTTCCAGGTGGGCCACCGGGTCCCAGTGTGCCACTCCCACCCCTCTTTACCTTGTCTTCACCCCCTCATGTGCCCCCCCCCCGAGGTTCCTGGCTTCACCTGATCTAATTCAGACATGTATCCAGTATAGGTCATTTACCATGTTGGCTTAACACTAGAAGGTTGAGTTTTCTAGGTCACCAACTTTTATGGCCTAAGAATGACCTGATATTTGCCTGGTGGCAATAATTTGGAGGGTACAACCATTCGGGGGTTCAACGGGGTACAAAGTGATTTAGGGGTACAAAATTCACAATTCGGGGGTACAAAACTAAGCCTTTTTCAGGTATTTTGTACCCCCGAATTGAAGATTTTGAACCCCTAAATTGCTTTGTACCTCAATGACCCCTAAATTTTTGTACCCTCCACGCTCTCCCACAGAACAATTCCGAACTGCAAATTAATTTTTGATCTACAGAAAAAAGTTTGGCGCGATCACAATTGCAGGTCTAAAACCATAATTTCAGAATTTTTTATCTGATTTT